ATATGTGACTGATTACTAAATTTGCGAAAAGACAATGCAACTCCTTAACATATGATTTTTGTATATTATTGTACAATTATGAAAAGAAAGTCGTGAGCAGTCTATAGAATATTATGTAAAGCTACAAAATTCAAAAATATTTAGAGTTGGTAACGAATTTACATTTCAATAGTACCATTAAATAGAAATTTATAAACTTAACTGCTAAAGGAAGAGAAATTTTTAAACGATAAATGGATGAAACATAGTACAGTTTGATGGTTGCTAGAATACTCTCAAAATAATTTTCATGATTAATTGTGGAGGTTATAATTAAAATATTCCAATTGAAATAATACAGTGACTATCTGCTTATTTGCTTATTTAATGATTTAGCATAATTTATTATTTTATGTAGTAAAGTAAATAGTATTTTTTTCCAAATAATGAAAATACATCGTTTGGAAAATAAAAAAATTGAATGTTGTACAGCAATATAATATTAAGCAAAAAATTGAATGTTGTACAGCAATATAATATTAAGCAAAATTGAATGTTGTACAGACATCAATATAACAAAATAGTAATTATGATTTGAAAGATTTACAATTTCATATGAAGTGAGGTGAGCGTAAATGGAGAGGTGAAATTATTCAATTTCAATGACTTCATAATATGAAGGTGAGCCTCATAAACGGTAAGGTGTAGGTGATGAGTGACGGAGGAGAGGTGTAGGTGATGAGTGACGGAGAGGCATAGATGATGATGATGAGTGTGAACGGAGAGGTGATATAGGTGAGCATATTGGTGAATGTAGTGGTGAGGATGACGGAGTTGTTGTATGGCTTGTTGTGTTGATTTCGTGAGCAATATCATAAATTGTTTCTAAATAAATAATCAGATTAAATAAAAAAAAAATAAAATATTTACGTGGTTTTCTAATATTTACGTCGGTTTTCCCAAAAACGTTCACTGAATTCCTCGTAGTACTTCGTTCCTAGAGTACTTTTCCTTCCTTTTGGCTTACCCTCGATATATAATTGCATTTTCTAATAAAATTATAAAATTATATTAGTACTATTTAATATGCTAAAATAGTAGTTGAACCTGAAATAATGTTTATATACTTTATAAACTCGCACTAAGCCGTTAAATTTTCTTTACATTGCCTCCCAGTATACGTGGTTCTGAATTCAAGGTTTTATTTTGCTTGCTAGCCCTTTCCAAAAATTATACTTCATATTACCACTAGGGATGGCAATGGTCGGTCATGGTCGGTCATCAGTCGGTCATAACTGGTCAAGAACCTTTGACCGACTGACCGACCGTTTGACTGACCGGTCTGACCGACCGTTTAACCGACCGTTTAACCGATCCTGAAAACGTTTGCGAAATGTAATTTAATAAAAAAACGTTTGAAATACTTACAGTAATAAAAAATGTTTTCGCAACGTTTTCTATTAAAATAATTAAAAAAACGTTTGCAAAACATTTTTTTATTAAATTACGTTTCGCAAACATTTCAGGATCGGTTAAACGGTCGGTCAAACGGTCGGTTAAACAGTCGGTCAGAGGTCTTTGAC